GGGGGGCCTGGACTGCCTGTCAGGAAGAGGGTTTGGCACATGCCCAGCGCTGCCCACCATGGCAGTCTGACGGCACTTCTGTTGCAGCCACAGCAGTGACACCAGCCTGGTGGGACGTGGAAGGAGGGAGCAGAGCAGAAGCATGTGTGGGTAGCTGTCCATCTCAGAGGAGGTCCGGCCTGCAGGCGGGCAGCACGGGCAGAAGCTGGCTGCCAGCAGCATCCCTGGGGAAAGCAGGCCACGGCAGGGGTCCTCAAACCCCACCTCTGTGGCTGGGACCTTGTTTCTGTGCCAGCCAGTGACTCCCAGCCCCCGCGCTCAGCATTGCTCTTCCCAGATCTTTGGAGTCAGACAGGCCTGAGTTCAAATCCTGACCCCCCTTACAAGCTGTGTGATCCTGGACAAGTCACCTTCCCCTCTAGGCTCTCATTTCCTGGTCTGAGAAGTAGGGACACGAGAGAATCTAGATGCTGTGCTACAAGCAAGGACCGCCTTCCACTCAGAGTGGCTGTTACTACAATGGTTGTTTCCTCCAATGCATCTGTACCTCCCAGTCCAGCTCCAGTCCCTGGCACCGCTCAGCCCTATGGCAGCCAGGGCCAGTGGCTGGTCCAATTACTGTCCATCTTAACAAGGCCAGTAACACAGTGTCATCTGCTGTAGTAACTGTAGAAATAGGAAAGGAGCTGAAACGGCCCAGCTGAGCCATCCCAACCCAGATGGAAGCTCCTAGCACTGGCCTGTCTGAGGTGGGTGGCCACCATGTGCTCAGCATCTGGGCGCCATCCTTGGTTATGGCAAATGCAGCTGGTGCATCCCTCCCATGGGGCCTCGCCACGGAGCCAGGCTCGAGGTTAGCTCCGCTCAGCTTCTTGAGCATCTCAGTGGTTCAGGCCCCAGGCCAGCAGACTCCTCACGACCACCGTCATTATTCCCAGGCACAATCAAGGAAACTGAGGCCCTGGGAGGTAAAAAGGCTTGCCTGAGGCCACCCAGCATGGCAGAACCAGGCTTCCAAATCTCCTTGTTCCAAGCCCCACTCTCTCCCACTCATACCACAGCTGCCCATCACGTGGCAGAGTTGGCAGGGCCCCCAGTCCTGGGTGGGCCCACTGACGATGGGACCTGGACAGATACACCATGATGGGTGCCAGGGAGACAGCGGGAGGAAGTGGACGATGTAGGAGGGGAGGTGGCCACAGTACAGTCATGAGCCTTCTTGGAGAGTGTTGACTCCAAAGGAGAAAGCAGGCAGGGAGGGCCTTAGCCTGGAAACCTCTGGGTCCAGCTTGCCTTACCAGCTGCCAGGCCCCGGAGGACTGGCTGCGCTGAAGAAAGGACTAACAGTATGGCAGCCTGGACAGACCTGTGTAGGAACCCTGCCTCTGTCACTTCCCAGCTGTGTGGCCTCAGATAAGCAAAGCGACTCTCAGCTTCAGTTTCTCTCTCTGTGAAGTAGACCTAAAACCTCCCAGACAGTAGTGGTGTTGTTAGGAGTCAGTTATCTGCTCGTTTTATTATTATCTTCACCTCACTCTAAGTGAAGAACGGCTACAAAATGAGGGTAGTAATGAGGGTACTTCACAAGGTTATTGTATGGATTCAATAAAATGTGGCTTCATTCATGCTTTTCTTTTTTTCAACTAATGTTTACTAAGCAGCTCCTGTGTGCTCTGTTCCAGCTGCAGGGATTGAGTTTGTGGAGCAAGACACCCTTCCTAATTGGGGGAGGGGGGGCCTTTAAGGCTGATGGGGAACCAGATATTAAATACATGAATGGTACAAATAAGTATAGAATTACAGTTGTGGTGCGTGCGAGCGAGCTGTGCACCGGGCTTAGCACAGCACTGGCACAGGACAAGTGGGAGGTGGCTATTTTTATGACTTCGTTATGATTTAGGCTTTTAAATATTTCCAGTTATGGGCTAATAATACTGAAAAGACTTCCCTGGATTTGTGCAGTATTAACTGTGGGAGATTTGCTGCTTGTGGAGTTCTTGTTATGGGAGTAAAAGACTTTATATGGAGGTTCTTTCCAGGCATTGCAGTGGATCGAGGTCTCTCCAGGTCACCGGGGCCAGGAGGCCTCCTTTGGGAGGTCCCCTGAGTCCTCACCAGGTCCTGGCCGTGGCCTGTACTCTCTGCACCTGGGGAGTGGACAGGTGCTGGAGGCTGCACATTTTGTAGAGGTGGGTGATGAACACTCCAACAGTAGAATTTTCTCTTATTAAGTAGAGAGCTCTCCGTGCCAACAGGGTGCAAGCAGGGGCTGGGCAGTGGGAAAGGTGTGCTGGCCCCTTCGAAGGCAAGCTCTTCCTGGCCTCTGTCTGCAGAGCCAGGGACCTGAGAGGAAGCAGGCGGCCAGCACCCATCCTCACAGGGCGGAGTAGGGCAAGGCCTCCACGCTGGTGTTTTTGGAGGAAAGGCGATTCCCCGTGCGTTTCTGATGGCCAGTAAGTGGGTGGGAACGCAGGTGCTGGAGCCAAACAGACCTGGGCTCAAATCCTGCAGGCTCCTGGGCGGCTCAGGAGGTTTCTTACTTCTCTCAGCTCTCGTTTTCTCCTTAGCCCTCATGGGGTTGATGGGAGGATCACATGAAGTTGAAGGAAGATACATTTCCATCTGATGGTAAATCCCTGGGAAACATCAGTCTCTCCCTTCCCCCTGTCCTGCTCCTCGGTGTCTGCTCCTGAGAGATCGTTCACGCTGCCGCTCAGAGGCAGCTGGGTTCACGTCCACACCCAGTTCTCATCTGGAACGAAGCCGCCTCATGCCCCGTATCCGTTACCTCCTGCTCAGCACAGAGGAGGCTTTCTGCGGTGCTTAAGCAGCGAGGGGATTTTCAGGACTGCCACTGCTGAAGCCTCGGGGAGGCAATGAGTTACACTGTTAAGAGGAGAGAGGGAACAGGGCAAGGGGAAGAATACATCTGTGGATTCCAACCTACTGAACTTGGAGCTTCTATACAGGGGAAATTATTTCTAATTATTAAAATTTTGGAAACATGATGCCATTAGAAAGGAAGTGGAAATGGTTCCTAGGAGGAGTACCAGCATCTGTTTCTGTGATTTAACGGTTTCCCGTCACAATGAGTAGCTATTTTAAAAGCAGATGAGTGACTGACTGACTCATGGAATCCAGCAGCCGCAGTCCACTGCGGTGGCAGGAGTTACTCTGGAGGGGCGGCTTGCGTTCACCTCCCATCGCCATCATTACCGGCGGTGTGACTGGAGCTGGTTACATGTCCTTCTGCTTTTCCTTCCCTCCTCTGTAAAATGGGTTGCTGTAGGAATAAACACAATGAATGTGTGTCAGTACAGTGCTCGTTTGTCCATACAAAACTTTTACGTACCTGATTAATTACATTTGTAATAATTCTTAGTCGTTTAACAGTAAACTTTTAAGGCTATAAATTTTCCTCTGATTATCACTTTGGTCTGATCCTATAAATTTTGACATGCAGTGTTCTTATTGTCATTTTCTTTAAATAGACTTTTTATTTTAGATTATTTGTTTTTTCTTTGGCCTGAAAGTTGCTTGTGTGTATATGTGTGTGTTTCCCAAATGGTTAGCCTTTTTTCTATATTTATTGTTAAATCTTCCATGTAATATAAGGTCAAAGAATGTGGATAAATATGACGTTTACTTTTTTAAGCCTATTAAACTTTCCTTTACAGTCTAGTATATAATCCATTTTTGTAAATATTCCATGGGTATTTGAAAAGAATTCTATTTTCATTTATATTCACCAAACTTGTTAATTTTGTTACTCAAATACTATATTTATATGTATTATATATCTGTATATGTATGTCTGTATGTGTAATATATCTGTATATGTCTGTCTTGTATGTGTATATTTTTGTGCATACACACAAATTCTGGAAGAGACATGCCAAAGGCTCCCTGCATGGTTATGTCTTTGTTGAATTCACTGTTTATTTCTGGCAGTTTTTTGCTTTGTATATTTTGATGCAATGTCGCTTTGTGCATAGAAATTTGTAATCATTAGATCTTCTCCAGCAGCGGTGCTTTTCATTAATATCAATGATGCCTCTTTGCCTTGTTCAGTGTTTCCTGCCTTGAATTCTGCTTTCCATCGCTACTCCTGCTCAACCCCACAAATATCATGGGTAGAGTGGCAGGACTTCTAAAGGGCTGCTGGCCACCCACTCTCCGTGCACGTCCCCAGAGAGCCTGAAGCGCGGCCCAATGGCCAGCCAGTCAGCTGAGAGCTGTGCAGTGCATCACGCTGCACTGCCAGTCCTCCTCTCCCGGCCCGCCCAGGTGGCCTGTTCCAGATTCCCCCTGGGTGATGCCGAGGCCCAACACTGGCCTGTTTTATATCACATGTTATTTTCTTATTAAGCACCCTCAGGAGAATTCTCTATCTAGCCTTAGTTTGTGTGTGTGTGTGTGTGTGTGTGTGTGTGTGTGTGTGTTTTACCAATGACGGTTGCTTTCTTTTATTTCTTCTTTTATCCCTTAGTTAATTTGTGATTTTCGGGGGGGGGGGGGTGTACAGATAGACACCTAGACATGCAGCTAAGTGAATAAATAAAAACTGAATTCAATCCAAATGGTGTTCTCCTGGATAGAATACCTTAGACCTATTAAACTTCATCGGTTGGTGAAAAACACAAGTATTCATTCATCTCTTTTATGTCCTGTTATTTTCCACTTGGGTTACAAGAAAAAAAAAATCCTTGTTGCTGGAGAGTGTATGAACCAGAAATGCTGAAATCTCGCCAGCGTTCACTTTGGTTGTCACTCGATGCTTGATTTACAGTTGAACGGTCTATGTGAAAAATTAGTAGTCGGGATTGGAATTAAGTCCAAAGAGGATCTCAGTTTTCCCTAAGTCGCCCTTTATATCCTCTAGCAGAGCAGTGCTGTTTTGTGCTATTTTTGTCTAATTAATGGTGAACACTTACCATCATTATATATCTTCTTTACTTTTAGGGATCTATCTTCTGACTTTTTGTATTTTTTTTTTTTAGGGATCTATCTTCTGGATTTAATCTACATTGATTCTGCATATCCTGCCTCAGGCAGCATCATGGAAAACGAACAAAGATCCAATCAGATGAACAATATTCTCCGAATAATCGCAGATTTACAAGTCTCCTGCAGCTACGGTTAGTACCGCTGATTGTTGGAGTGTGAAATGTCACATCACTGAAATTTGAGTCCGGCACCTTATCAGCGAGAAAGCTCTTCCTTGAGCACCAAACGTGCTAGATTTTTAAACAAATATATTTTATTGATTTCAGAAAGGAAGGGAGAAAGAGAAATATCAATGATGAGAGAGATTCATTGATTGGCTGCCTCCTGCACGCCCCCTACTGGGGATCGAGCCCACAATCTGAGCATATGCCCTGACTGGGAATCTAACGGTGACCTCCTGGTTCACAGGTTGACACTCAATCACTGAGTAATACCAGCCGGACTTAGACACTTATTTGATCTTCAAAGACTGTGCAAACAAGATGTTATCTCCAGAACACAGGGCGTGAGCAAACCTCCAGCAGTCTCCGCTTGGGAAGGCCCCCTGGGAAGCCAGGGTGGGCTTCCTGCTAGTGGGCTCACTGAAGCAAACAGCCTGCTCATAAGCCCCCCAACAAGGGGTAGGGTGTGGTGTCAGCACTTCCAGACCAGCTGTCCTCTGACCAGAGGAACAGTGAGGAGACTGAGTTCCCTGTGCAGTCCTCACCGCTGAGGCCCTTTCCACTGACAGGTACCTGGTACATGGACACTCACTGTCCCGCTGGCCAGCAGAGCAATTAGAGATGGCTTTGGGGTCAGACAGACTAGGGTTCAGATCTTGGCTCTGCCTCTTGAAAAGTCACTTTCTCATCTCTGAGTCTAAGGTTTTCTCATCAGTAAACATGGGGACATGATGTGTGCGGAGCCCTGAGCACACCCCGACATTTCATTGGCTCTCAGCAAACGTTCACTTAGTGCCGCTACCTGCACCTGCATCTTCCCCGCCATCAGCTTCGGGAAGCAAGTGCCATCCCATTGCAGAAATGAGGACACTGAGGCTCTAGAGCAGCGGTTCTCAACCTGTGGGTCGCGACCCCTTTGGGGGTCAAATGACCCTTTCACAGGGGTCACCTAAGACCATCGGAAAACACATATATAATTACATATTTTTTTTGTGATTAATCACTATGCTTTAATTGTGTTCAATTTGTAACAATGAAAAATACATCCTGCATATCAGATATTTACATGATGATTCATAACAGTAGCAACATTACAGTTATGAAGTAGCAACGAAAATAATTTTATGGTTGAGGGTCACCACAACATGAGGAACTGTACTGAAGGGCCGCGGCATTAGGAAGGTTGAGAACCACTGCTCTAGAGAAACAAAACGACCTGTTCAGAATCTCACAGTGAGGGGCAAGTGCTCCTTACATTGCCTGACGCACCTCCCGGAAAGCCCGGGCCCTTCCCGCCTCTTTCTGCTGTTCTGCACCACCTCCACCTGTCCCCTAGCTTGTTCTGTCCCACCTTGTGGGTGGGGTGAGTTGGCGTAGAGGATCTTGGAGGGCTTGGGCCCCTCAGTGACTGAAGGTCTGCCTAGAGCAGCCGATGTCAGTCACTCCAGGAAATAGACAGTGAAGTGTAGCAGGTTACCTGGGATCAAAACCCAGCTCTGCCACTTCTCAGGGACCTGAGCTTTGCAAGTCGCCATGGCCTCTTCCTCTGTGGACATATTATGTCTCCCAAGTGAGGCAGGTGTGAAGGTTAAAGCAGATGACTCCTGGGAATCTCCTGGTACAGAGCCTGGCACAGAGCAGGCGCTCAAAGCCCATCCGTCTCCCCAGCGGCTGCAGCCCAAGGGGCAGACTCTCCCACTGTGCCAGGGTCTGAAAAACCCTCACACCAGCTGGATGAGAGCTTTTCAGTCATTCTTGCTTCTTGTCAAACAGGGGCGGAAGGCATGGGAGGCTTGCATATTGCCCAATGGAACCTGTTTTAGGGCACAGACACCTGGCCTGATCAGTTCTGGAGACCAACTTCCCCCAAAGACCCATCTTTCCCGGCCAAAGACCTGTGGTGCCTCAGGGTGAGGTGTCTATGGCCCAGCCATATGGGGGCACTCCTCGAGGGCAGAAACCAGGCCTGATGACCCCCCTGTACCCAGTGCCCATCAGCAACTCTAGAAAGACTGAACATATGTCCCAATACCCAAGGAGCATCTAGTGCCAAGATCAGCGAGGCCCACATTCTCATGCGGGACCTGGAGATGGGGAAAGACTGAGGCCTCTGGTTTTGTCCACCTTTTGCAGATCACCTCACAACCCTGCCCCACGTGCAGAAGTACCTGAAGTCCGTGCGCTACATCGAAGAACTCCAGAAGTTTGTGGAAGACGACAACTACAAGTGAGTGCCCACTCTCGTTCCTGGCCCCTGCACAATGCAGGTACACAGAATGTGACCTCTGACCCCATCGAGCCTGTGGTGGCGCTGTCTGCCGCATAGGTCTGAGGAAGATGTTTTGTGAACTTCTCAGCTTGGCTCTCTCAAATCACCTGGGTGCTGTGAACGTGGATTCCACGGCTCTGTGAGGTGTGGTGCTCCAGGTCTCACGGGTGACTCAGGGCTGGGGGAGGGCAGCCTTCTAGCCATCTCTCCAGGCTGGCAAACGGAGTTCCCCAAGAGTCTGTTTCCTGGACGGGACAGCTCCCTGGGCCCAGCTCTCTGTCGGATACTCGCTGACTGGCACCGGCAGAGGCCCATCTCCATCCCATGTATCCCTACGGAGTAGTCTTAGTTCCCACAAGGATCCCTGTGGGCCCTTTGGCCTCATCTTCCACTCACACTGCTCTGGCTTTCGGCTCTTTCTTGTGGCACCTGAGAATTTATCCGGCATTTCTATGTATTTAGAGGGAGATGGAGGATTTTTTGTATCATCTTTGCCATTCTGATTGGACATCCTCTTGGCTCATTTTGAGCTGGAGGTCAACCAGGAGCCTCAGTACATTTCCATGGGATCTGATATATCAAGGCAAGTCTCACCATCTTGTAATCCATCATTTACCCTCTGTCAACTTTATATCTGTTCTTTTAATCTCATCTTACTCTGGTATACCATGATTCCTTTGGGTCCTGTTAGCTAATATATATTTTTTAATCTCTTCCACTTTGGGATCAGCTTGATTACTGTTCATCTAAGTCCCTGAAAACTGTAGAGAACAGTGGTCACTAGAGACACCCCCACGTCTCCCATGATTCACTCCCAGGACCTCAGGAATGACTGTTCATACAGCTGCACGTCTACCAGCTCTGCAGCTGCGGACCAGCCCGGCTGTGAGTCAGTCACCTGGGGAGGCTTCTACCCATCTAGATGCTGGGGCGGGGCCTGAACATTTGTGTTTTTTCAAAACGCCGTAGGTGGTTCTGATGATTGGTTTAACCTTGGGAACAAGACATAATATCTTTAATTGTTATTGTATAATACCTTGTTAAAATAGAATATAATATGAAATGTTGATCTATTACATAATAGTAACAAAAATAGATGAAAGCCAGAGATTATCATTAAAGTTATATTTGCCACAAATTGAGCTCATTTTACTTAAAAGCATTTGCTGTGCTTAAAAATGTAGTCCAGAGTGTGAAATTATTCCCACGTAGGTTCTGGGGAATATTTTCTATTCCTGTGCCAGTAGCACAATGAAAGAGACAGTAGCTTTTCATTCACGCTAAGATCCCTTAAGGAGAAAAAGGACCTGTCAATGCTCCTGGCTGCGTGAGAATCCTTGGGCAAGCCGCAGGTTGTGAGTAATCGCTCCGTTCCTTCCTGAGGACTCTGAGCACCCCAGCACTGAATGCTGACCCCCCCCCCCCCACTCAGCCCGGACTTCATAGGGGCTCTCTCTGTTGTTGTCGCAGTGACAACCAGGGCGGAAGCTGCTTTCTGGCCCCCGGGCCCGACACTGAGGGAGTCCCTTCCCAGGCAGGGGTCCTGTCCCCAGCTCTGAGTGGCAGAGACATCAGGGCTTGTGATTCTCCTTGAGGAGCCCACACCCCACAGCCCAGCTGGGGACTTCCCTCCCACCCCAAAGGGTGCAGCCGCTGAGCTAAGACCTCAATGACTGCCTTTCTCATACCCTGCCCCCCTCTGCTTTGGGGATATTGTGCCAAGGGGCCCACCCAGTGCTTTGTTTTTCTCAGCCTTTAGTTTCTTTTATTTCACTTAAGAAAAATAACCCACATTCCCATTAGCATTAAGTGAGCATAATTCTGGACATTTTTTTCTCTGCATAGAAAGTGCTTAGATAACACATAGAGAAGGGTGGATAGATGGATGGATGCAAGGCAAGAATCTCTTCAAATGGAATCATGCTACACTTGCTATTTTTAATTAAAAGTATTGACTTTAATTTTATTTTAATTTAACCAGAGAAAAGGAACTGAAATAAAACACAAGGAATTATTGCTCTTCAAATAAATATTTCCCCACCACAAGAGATACTATTTCCTAACAGAGCTTCTAAGATTAACAGAAGAGGTCAGGAAAACAGTAAGGGGATTGAGCCCATCAGTTCTGTCTTAACTAGATTCCCACTGTGAGCAGGGTCAGTTCGCTCGGCAATGAAAGATGAGAACGTTGGCGCCCCCCCCCCAGCCCCTCCCCTGCGCTTCACATCTTCCAGTTTGTTGGTTATATTATTATCACTGCCTAGTCCAAGTTTACAACGTACACATCATGTTCAGGAACCACAGTTCCTACTGTTCAGTGTTTTTAAACAGATTCCGTTCTTGCCACCTGCTGTGTCTCCACAGCGTCTCCATTCCTGGGAGGTTTTATTTTAGGTTCATCCCGCATGTAGGTGATGTCAGTAGGTTCTCACGAGTCGGGCGCGCTCCGATTTCTTTCCTGAACGTGTCTGCTTCTGACCTGCTGGACTGCGCTCCTTCGCATCTCCCCCAGGACGTGTGGACCCCACTCCCTTGCTGTCCTGCCTTGTAGTTGCTGTAGAGAAGCCTCAAGCCCATCTGATTTTTTCCTCTTGAATGTCTTGCCTGGTCCGCCTGGGGGGGTGAAGAATTCCCTGAATTTCAAAAGCTCAACCAGGGGGATGCCTCCGAGTGGAGGGTGTTTGGTATCAAATGTGCCTGGAACAAGGTGTGCTCTTTCTTCCTTTCAGAGGAATTCTTTGGTTTCTATCTCTGCCCCCTGCTGTGTCATTTCTTGGCTTTTCTCTCGGGGATTCTAGGCATCCACGCGTTGTGCTGCCTGCCTTCTGTACCCGTTAGCTTCTTCCTAATGGCTGTCTCAGGTCGTGCTTCTACTTAGTCCTCATTCAGTCCTTGGCTGTTCCGTGGGTCTCCGACCCCCTTTTCATCTCACTCCTGTGCGTTATCGTCTCATTTTTCAGGTCTTGTGTTCTCCAGCCCGGGTTCTGCATGACCTATTCTGCTGATGGAAGCACTTGGGTTTCCTCGTGCTCCTGGGGCTGCCCCAGGGCTGCGCAACTTGCTCGCTTCCTTTCTCCTTTTTCTGTGAGAGGATGTTTGCTCAGGGGCCAGGCCATTCCTTTTCATCTTGCTCCCATTGAGGCTCCGTCTCACTCTTCCATGGCTGGGACAGGGAAGGGACAGCTGACCCTGCACTTGTGTGTGAGTTGGCTGGTTCCCCTGCGGGCAGGGGTTCTCAGTCGGTCCCTCCTGGTGCCTGGGGAACGCAGGCTCAGGCTCCGTGAGGAAGGGAGCAGGCCGTCTGTTTTGGGTATGGGGGCTCTCTTTCAGGGTTTCCTTTACCCTGTTGAAGGCTGTCTCCCATTCCAGAAAGGGATCCCCTCAAGTGTGAAATTCTACCCTCATCCCCCCTATGGAGGCTTCCTTTCTGTCAGGTCAGCATATCCACCAGGCCCTCCACCCACCCCACCGTTTCTCCCAGCACCTGGGGCCATTCAGAGAAGAGACAGGTAAGGACCAGCTCCCGGCCAGACTTCACCACCTCCTTCTCCTTCCTTAGCTGCAAGTTTCTGAAGGTCATGGCTTCCGTTCACGCCCCTAACCTTGTGGAGCAGCATCTGACGAGTTTGGTTACTCCTAAGCGTTCCTAAGTGTGTGTTGGTTTTGTTGGGAGACAGGGAGTCTGGCATCTGGCTTCACTCTGTCATTTTCACCCAGCAGTTCTTAGTTGGTGCTTTTGAAAAATAATAATACTGAGTTGCCAATCCTCCTAAGGTGGCCACTGCCTCCTGGCTCTCTGGGGGCAACTGAGAGGAAGTGCCATGTGAGGGTTAAACCCCGGCTTAGGACCAGATCCCCTGCTTCACCACTCGCTACTCTATGAATTTGGGGAGCTACTCAGCTCGCTGCTCTTCAGCTCCTCATCTTTAGGATGGGATGACATGCCTACCTAGCTCATAGGGTTGTCTAGAGAATGAGCACATGCGTGCCAGCAGAGGATGGGCCATGACCACTCTTTGCTGTGTCGTCCTTAACCATTATTGCTGGGTCGTGGGAACTCGCTGGGGGCTCGGAAGGCAGTCGCTGTGATCTGGAGCAGACCTTGAAGTATTCCTGGGTTTCATGACCATGAGCCTCCTTAACCGCAGTCCAGTCTCCCAATTGCAAACATACACATGCTCAGCTCCCCTCCGATGCACCAGAGCCTGACTGATCCTGTGAAAAACCTTTGTTTTCAGACTGTCGCTCAGAATTGAACCAGGAAGCAGCTCTCCAAGACTCGTCTCTTCAAAGGAAGATCTTGCAGGTATTGTAGCCACATCCTATCAAGTAGGGCAAACCCACTGAAAGCCCAAATATGCTGCCAGGTGGGTCCTGACTGTGGAGCCAAAGGGCGCAGTTGTTTGCAGGTTGGCAGACGCAGCTGTCCCTGCTCACAGCCCTCTCGCACTAACCTGCTCAGCTCCCAATCACACGGAACCCCTGGGGACACTTCTGGGCTGGGGCTCCCTGCAAGAGCCTGGGACCTAAAAGCCCCAAGAGAGGCAAGATCAGAACCCCAGCTGAGAGCACGCACAGGGCAGACAGAGAACGGGGTCCTCTCCAGGTCACCAGGGCCCTTCTCGTCAGGCCCCGGCCCTGGAGTTGTCATGCCTGGGAGGGTGCACAGGAGGCCGGGGTGTTTGGTGCCCCCAGGCACAGATGGCTCGCCTCCCTGGAGCCTCAGTCTGTCCACATATTTGGGGCACACAGAGCGTCCCCTAGTGATGAAGGGTGCAGGCTGTGAAGTCAGCCCCAGCTTTGCCATCTCCCCTCTCTGATCATCGGTGGCAGTCACCCTGCAGGTTGCTATGACACCTGGGCAAGCTCACACCTGTGGAGCGCTCTGCCCACACGGGCTCGTTTGTGGTGAACGTGCTCCGTCGGTATCACCATGGCGGTTTCTGTTCCTCAGTGTCCAGCTGGCTCTCCGTGCCTGGGGCTGATCTCACTGCTGCCCAGGGTGGGACCAGATTGGGGTCTGGGCCACCTGTGCTTCCTCCTCCTGGTTTGAGCTCAGGTGTCACCAGCCTGGGTTCTAGGCCACTGCAGTGTTGGATCAGCAAGTCCACCCTCTGGGCCTCGGTTTCCTCACCTGTAAAATGAGGGTAATAAAGTCTCCACCCCAGGGTGGTGGGGAGGTCAGGATGGAAATGATACTTGGAAGGCACTCAGTGTGGTCTGACCTAAAACAACCACTAGTGGGCCTCTCACAGAGTCCGCCAGCCCTGTAAACCACCCCCACCCCCACCCCCACCCCCAGCTCCTTCCAGCTCCTTCCAGCTCTGTGCCTCTCCCAGCTTCCCTGTCTGTGCTCCTTTATCCCAGGCTGCCTCCCCTCAGACTGCCCCGAGGTAAGGGTACCAGAGCCGGCACACAGGTTGCCTGCCCTCACCCCTTCAGCCCTGGCCTCTAAGCTCCTGGCTGGGCCCTGTGGGCACCTGGCTCTCGAAACAGCTCCAGAGCCGCCGACTGCTGACTCCGCACTCCCTGGAGGAGCGCTGATGCCAGCAGTTTTCACGCAGCGAGCGAGCCCGGCTCACAGGGGCGTTTCCCACCAATTTTCCAAATCCCTGGCTGCAGCCTGGAAGCAGGACGTGAAGGTTTTCATTGATCACCAGAAGATGGGGGACGTCTGGAAAGCTTCAGGCTCACTCCTCCATCCTGGCTCCCCACCCCACCCCCAGCCTCAGGTGACAGCGGTGGTGCCTGCAGCCCTAGGACAGCAGGGGTCCCGTGAGGGCAGGGCCAGAGGGACAGCTCCCAAGAGGCCTTCCCTGATCTGGCAGTTAGACTGGGCTTCGTGGCAGGAGCCCGACCAGACCGGGGACAGGAATGTGCCTCTCACAGTCCCAGGAATGGCAGGAACGCAGCCTCCTCGGCTCCCAGGAGGGGGTTAAGCTCCTGCTCCGGGCTCTCTTTCCAGCAGGCAGGCACCCACACCTGCCAAGGAGAGGCCCCCCGATGCGTTCATTCGTTCCTTCACTCAAGACTTCCAGGCCGGGCCTGCTGTGGGCCAGGCACTCGCTGTGGGCCACGCACCAGGAGCTAGGCACAGGCTGCCCTCCTGGAGCTGACCTGTCAGGGGGAAACATGCAGCAGCAGCCTCGAGGGAGCAGGTGTGGCATCGAGGTCCCAGAAGGAGGCCAGTGTGAGCTCCCGGACCCCTCCTTGTGGCTGTGCCCCCTCCTCTCACCAGCTTGCCTGCCAGGGGCCCAGGGGACGCAAACTCTGGCGTTGGGAGCAGCCCTAGTCTCAGGTCCCTCAGGCCTTGGTTAATGTCGGAGTGGTCCCCACTGAGGCTGTCCCTCTGTCTCTGTAGTGGCCCATCCTCCCGTCCTCCCCCCGCCCAGGGCTGCCTCCACTCTGCCCCCAGGGAGTGGCCATGCTGGCAGATCCACACGACAAGCAGACAGACATTGTGAGAGAGGAAATGGAGAAACCTCCTCAGTTCTGGTCCGTGGAGAAAAAAGGGCCACGTTTTCAATTTCTCCCGTATGTACTGTTTCGTTTATATAAATGAACTAATATTTTCCTGGAGAGCAAAATGCATAAAGAATGTTGACCCTCAGAGAGGGCAAGCCATGTTTGTGTGTGCGTTGGAGCCCGTGAAGACATTTCCAGATCCTGTGAGCTCCGCCTCCACGTGGCCGAACCAACTGACAGGTTTTCTCTGAAGAGCCCTTGGCAGCGGAGCCAGGCCATGGAAAACCGCGCCTGCGCCTTGCGCTTCTGCACTCGGACCTCAGGACTGCTCTTGCACCCCTGGTGGTCTTCCTTGTTTCACCGCCCGCTGTGTAAAGACCCGCCTGGCTCTGGCACTTAGCTGTGGGGCCCTGGGCAGTCAGCTCAATCCCTGTGAGCCCCAGTTTCCTTACTGGTGAAATGGGAATAGAAATGAATACTTCACGTTGCCTCACTTCACAGGGCTGAGGCCGTGTGGGAAGAGCCCCCAGCACAGAGCCCGGTGCACGCCTACCGCTCAGGGCATCAGCGCTGATGTGTCCTGATGGAGGGACAGAGAGGCAGCCAACAGGGAGTCCATGCCCACCTCCAGCTCCTCGCTGCTTGGATCCCCTCACCTCCCTGCCATCTCCTCACAGGGGCCACCTTGGTCCCTGGGAGGCCACACCTTCCTTGTGCCAGCGGATCTGCGAGCGCAGCTAGCCTGGTGCGGCCACACCGTCCTCTGGCTGCAGCCCCATTGGGCCCACAGGCCTGAGTGAGGCACTGGCTGTTCCCTGGGTCTCCCAACTGCTGGGCACAGATTTCAAGCTCTCTGCGTGGTCTGTGGAGACGCCTCAGTATGGTTGAGTAGACGCAGAGATCACCCTGTGGGCGACGGCTGGGGCTCCCTTTCCATGTGCTCCTCTCTCCTTCCGTTTATAGGCTCAGAGTGGGTGAGGAGCCCTAGGCGAGGGCACATCTGCTCTCTTCTGGACATCTCCCAGCTACTAGGCTGGCGTGTCAAGGTCAGGCAGAGGAGCCAGGCTCAGGCCCGCTCTGTCCGACCCTGCTGCCCTGCCGTGGCCCAGCTCCACGCAGCACCGCTGCAGCCGGCATTCCTTGCTCCCTGTGCCTGGGAGTCAGGGCCTCTGAATCCGAGGAGAAGGCATCTGGGGCTCCCCACAGCTGAAGGGCGACCTTGGCTCACAATAGGGACCCGTGAGAGCTGCATGTATAAGAAACAAAGAATGTGTGCGAATGTAAAAGGGACCGGCTCCCAGGCTCGACCATGAAACCTGGCCAGAGAAAGGTTTCAACGCAAACGGAGTCTGTGCCCAGGGGCCCATGTCCGCGTGCGCAGGGCTCCGGGAGACCAGGAAGGCTCTGAGCAGGCGCAGGAGCGAAGCGGAGAGAAGCCCCGAGACTGGATGGAAGTGCGCCCTGTGCAGCTCACGGTCAGGGTGGCACCCGAGAGCCCCAGGTCACAGCAGTTGTCATTCACCTTCTCCGGTGAGGAGACTGCACCCTGAGCTCCCAGCTCAGCCCTGGGCAGAGGCTGGACTGGAACACAAATCCTGGGACTCCAAGCTCAGTAGTTCCTCTGCCACAGCTGCCTCCCATTAATGTCCGATGTGCAAGACTTGGAAAGCACCCCCAAAGGCCGCAGTGGGCTGCCAGGCTGCTGAAATCGGCAGTGCTGGCTGGGCAGGGCCGCTCGATGCTGCTGGAAACCCGTGGGAGCAGGACTCCCCGTCCCAGCCCCGCATCCCCTGCAGAGCCGCCACCTCTGCAACGTGGGCACCGCGCCAGCATTCAGCACACACGGCCTTGCTCCAGCCCTGCGCTGGGCACTGGGACACAGCCCCGGCCTCCAGAGTTGGTGTCTGGTGGGAGAGATGGGCAACCAACAGGCTGCCAACACAATTCCTTAGTGACCTGGATGCTGTGAATGTGGGGCGCGGGCACCGGAGAGCAAGGGGCGGGAGGCTGTGGCCCAGGAGGAGGGTCACCGCCCTCTGTGAGAGCTCAGGGACAGACGCTGTAAAGCGCTGGGCCAGGATCTCAGCGACAGCCCGCACTGTTGTCTGATTCAACCCCTGAAGCGGGAGAAGGTTGGCAGCTCTTTCCCTCCATCCCTCTCTCTTCTCCTGAGAGAAGCTTCCAGGATGAACAGGAGGTCATTTCTGGGGCATCCAGGCCTGTCTGCAGGTGGCGCTGGCAGCTGACCAAAGCTGGCAGACTAGGCCCCTCCAGTCTGCTCTCTAAAGACCCTGATCAGAGAAAAGGGGACATTGCCGTGTGTCCTGGCCCCAAAGGTGGTGCTGCCTGCACAAGGCTGCCCCAGGGCTGCTGGCCAGGAGAGGAGTGCCAGCTCCTGCGCCTTCCAGTAGAATTACAAGTGAAGAGGTCACTTACTCATGCACCTACAGTGATACTTTTCTCAAGTAGTTGTTCTCGTGACCCTGGCTTTACACAAGTCCTTTCAGCCTTTGTCTTCTCATCCCACAAACACCGTTTCCCTGCATTCTGTCCCAGGCCTCCCCTCTTCTTACTGAGCTTACAACCTGGGCTCCCCCTCCTGGGTCGCATGGCCTGCACCTCTGTCCCCAGCTGCCGTCTGTCTCCTGAGCTTCACACATCTCCCCAACATCGGTCCCAAACTGCACTTCTCGTCCACTCCCTCAGTGAATGACACCAGCCTCCACGAGGGTTACCCCGAGTGCCCCTCCCCCACCCCCTCGCCCATCTCCTAGAGCTCTCTCTGCCACATCCACCTCCCAGCCTGTGTTCTTGACCACATCCACATACTTCCAGCCAGAGTGAGCTTTCTAGGGTACAAATCTGAGCACCTTACTGACCCTCCTGAAATCTCCACATCTTCCCCTCATTAAACTCTTGGTCCCTCATGTGGCCCTGCAGCTCCACTCCCTACCCTCCTTCCCCCACATTCCCTCCTTCAGCTCCTCATCCAGGCTGGCTCTCAGCTTTCTCTAGTGGGTTCTGCATCTCTCGTGTTTCGGTCTTTGCATGTGCTGCTCCTTCTGCCCAAGCTGCTGCCTCTGCCGGGACCTGCACCAGCCTGGATGTCGGAGCCCCCAGGTCTGCCCTGACTTTTCGGGCTCTCAGATGCACTGCTCCAGGCTCCACTGCTCCCCCAGGAAGCTCCTTAGCCCTTCTGACCTCAGTCCCACATCCCAGTGAGGAGCTAACAACAGCCCCTGTGAGGCGGGGTTATGCCAGGGCCTAAATGAGGTCCTGCGAACAAGCGTTCGGCATGTCTCTGGCACTTGGCGGATGCTCGATCATGTGGGACAGTACCATTAGCACCGCCGTTAGGCCGTGATAGTCACACTGTGGGTGTAGTTAGTGCCAGGTTTATTACATCCAAGCCTGTGCCCGCCCTGGGCGTGATGATCTGGTTACTGTCC